TACGCTCCCGCAACGTCAAGGGCTATCTTCTCCCATGGTACAACAACATTTTACAGTTTCAATGCACATCTACTACGAGTTTGTGGTCCCTTTACAGCCACACAACTGGTACACTTGTGATACCAGTCCTCGATATTGTCACGACAGTGGACCCAGTAAAACCGTTCTCGGATCTTCAGTAGAGTTCGTTTAACTCCCAGATGACCCTCTGAACAACTATTATGGTACAGCTATAGAACATCCGGTACTTTAGCTTTAGGGACAATCATTTGTAAATGACAACTGTCTCCCCGACCATTTTCTCATTTACGGCACAGGACTCCATCCGAACTCATCGCTGAGACGTCGCTCCACTTGGGCTAATAGCACTGGCCTTCATCCATTCCAGAATCGGCTTGATGTTCGAATCTTCCTACTGTGCATGTTGTAGGCTGTCCTTCCACTCATTGCTGAGCTGGTCTATTCTGAGCATCCTCACAGATACCATTTCTTTACCCAATCTTCAGGACAAGGTCTTCTTGACAATGCATCTGCTTTGCCATGAGATTTACTGCTGCACTGGGCAGTGCTGTTTGCCGCACTACCGTCTCGAGATCGATCACCTCCCCTTTCTACAGTTCGCTTAGGGCGGCTGGATCGAAGATGGCCTCTTTCCCCACAGCCGTAGCACCTAGGGTTGTATCCTTTATTGCAGTCGCGAACTGTAGTTGCTGCAACCTCCCTGACGCGATGGGAACGATGATCCTGCTGCACGGCTTCCACCTCCAGTGCATGGACCAAGGCGTCCTTAAGCGTCTCGTGGTGACCGAGCCTCACAGCAGCTCTGACTTCAAGATCGCGGATGCCGTCAATGAATGTCTGCACCAGGATCCCTACAATGTACGCAGGTACAGACTGGTATGCTTTTCGAACCAGCTTCTCCACCTCAAGGACCCACTACTGCAGGTTTTCGTTGCTGCGTTGCACTCGATCTTTCAGCTGCACACGAAAGACGTGTTGCAAGTGAGCATCGTATATCACGCCTCCAATGCCTCAAGGAGCTGCTCGTAAGTCACGTCTTTACCGAGAGCTTCCAGAACCAAGTGTCGCCATTTACCAGGCATTAATGGTGGCGCTCAACATTATTAAGTGGCGAAGCTTGCGAAGTCACTTATTAAGTGTCGAAGCTTGCGAAGTCACTTATTGATTTCACGATGTCTGTCTGTCTGTCCGTCTGTCCGTCTGTCCTACGATTATCTCGAGAACGGTTTTGAATTTTCAAATTCTGTTTTCAGCAATCGATTACTGATCACCCAGGCATCTGAACCTCCTATTTTGAAACTGACTGCTCAACGGCAACCGTTAGAAACCGCTACAAAGCTGATTGCTTCGCCACTTTGCTATGCTGTTAGCTTGCTAGGTTTATTATTTGTTGCCCTTTAGGCCTTCTTTCGTCAAACATCATTTTTTATAAGATTAAGGTAAGATATATCATAGATATTGAACTCTGCTAGTTTTAATTCATTGTAAATTAAGCAAAGAGATAGCACTTGATAATCTTAAGGTAATACATTCTGCATTAAACAAGACTTGAAAATTTTGAGCAAGCATTCTTTATATATATTATTTATAAATGATTTATAAACTAGTCCTTTGCCGGGGAAATGTTTGTTTTATTTGATTGATTTCTATATTATTAGAAATTATGTATCTAACATAATATAATATTGATTCAGTCACTGCCGGCCACGTGAGCGGCTGACGGTGCGGCGTGCGAGTGGGTCGTAAATATAAATTGACATTAATGGCCCCCGTATAGGTAGGTGCCCACACTAAATATCACTAGTGTCTCCCTCGGGAGACCAATACATATACAGTATACGTTTAGTTATGAAATGAATGTATATAAAATAGCAAATAGGCTATGTTGTATAAGACGAAATTTAAGACCTTTTCTCTAAATGCTAAGGTAATTGCAGGCGTTTTTTTTTATAGGATAGTGTGACAAACGAGCACACAGTCCACCTGATGGTAAGTGGTTCCTGTGGCCCATAGACATCTACATCTATCCTCGTTTACGAATTAAAATACAGATGCGTTGTCACCCGTGAGGACTAAGATAGAATGCCTCTTTTCCAGTAAAAAGGGTCTCCGGTTCTTTACACTCACCATACGAAACACAGCAGTTTTAAGCTGCTATTTTACGTTGGTATTCTATGAGAGCGTGGTCCTTCCCCGGTCGAGCCGACCTATTCGTGCTTCAACTATACTACTAATATAGCTGCAGCATGGCTTTACCACGTGTACTGTTCAAATCTCATTGAGCTCTAATTTCACCGACTGGGGATCGGAAGCAGCAGTATCAGTATAACTGTGTAACGGTAGTGACTCTCAAATATAATTGAGTCCGTTTCACAAAGGTCTCGGCTGGCTTTAAAATAGGTATGCAAGGAAGTCGTGGTCAATTTTCAATAGGCGTACTGCGCGTTTCCGTTATCGCCCCTTCCAATGTGCTCCCTGCTCTAGTTCATGGGCCACTATTCCATCATCGTCTGAACTTACCGCAACTGGAGGATCCACGGCAGCATCCTTAAGTGCGGGTTGCTCTGCAACTTGTGAAGCCGCATCCCCAGTTAGCTATTCCATCCGATGAGGGACCAGCCTTACGTTGTAGCCGATAGAGTTCGGCGTCACTAAATATTTTGAGCGCATGATCTACTGAAGTCGGTCTGCCAGGTTTTGCTGGGTGACGGTGGCAGATGGCTCCAGCTCTCAGAATTGGTGGATAATGTCACTAAAAATAACATTTAGTGTAAGTTAAAGGATCATTTTCTTAAGTTATTATGACGTGTTTTCTTATATATTTTTTTTCTCTGATTGTATGTTTTTTTTCCTTTTTACAGTATATGTATATGTATAATACAATATTACGCTATTATCTTATAAAATTGTAAACACTCGATACCTTAGTGGTTTCTTATATACTATCACTATAAATATTTGTAATGTTTTTTCATATGATAAATAAATGAAAAAAAAGCTCAGCAAAAAAAAAAGATGCATCCTAGCCCGCTACACAAAACCTCTAATTTCTCCCACTTTCGCCCTGAAGTACGCCCACAATGCATGCTCGTTCATTTGGGCTGTCCATTGCCTGAGGTGTACTCGGCCAATTGCGGATATCGATTGCTGCGTCCGTGAAGATCCTGCCAACACCAAGCCTGCTGGCGGAGATGATGGATACGAGGGGCTGCTGCGTGTTAAGGCAGCAATTTAAGCATATTTCGTTAGCTTCCATCATCCATTGAGGTGGGCGCCAATTAACGGGAGACGCCATGACGATATAGCAGTTTTGTCACTTAACTGTTATGTCATGGGGCTATGGGGTCGTCCTTTCACTACGTCATTTATCATTTATTATTATTATTATTTTTTTTTATTTATTTAGTTAGACTTACCAACTAAGTACATATGAAAACATTTCGGCTACATTTTGTTATAACATTATATATATGTACTTAAATTATAGGTGAGTACAACACTTTAACATTAACGCAATTACTTTATTTAAAACAATACTAAAAATTTATGTGTGAGATTTAAGTTAAGATTTAAGAAAAGACATATTTTTAAGTAAAATATAGAATAAAGTTACATTAAGTATGGCTATTTAATTTTATTATCATTTAGGATGAATGGTCGTATCGAGTTACTCGATGTGCTTTAAAAATTATTCGTCATACTTTATAAAAACACTCTATGTTTCGTATAATAACTTTCACTGGTACTCCTTTAATTTGTCTGGGAACGGATGCAAGTCTTTGTAAAAGTCATTATGCAAAACTAATAAGTCAGTTTAAGTAGATCTTGGAGAGTTCAAGGGTCTTATTAATAAACTAGCTGTTCCCCGCGACTTCGCCCACGTGTAAATTAGGGTTTTAATATTTTTTTTGCGCGGAATCCTAATTATTTTTCTACAACAAAAGTGGCCTAAATTACTCCTTATAACATCAACTATCTGCCATGTGAAAGTCCCATCAAAATCGGTCTAGCCATTTCGGATATTAGCCGGAACAAACAGACAGACAGAATTTTTTTTTAAAATTGTGTTTTTGTTGTAAGTTCCGTATATACTTTCATATGCATTTAGTAAAAAGCAGTTAATTTGACATTACAAACAGACACTTCAATTTTATTTATTTGTATAGATAAGTTAGTTTTAATTTTGTACTATGAAGTATTTTCACGCAGAAAAAAAGGTTCATATTTTGCAAAATGTCAATATGATAATAGTTTCAAGACCGTCGGCTGTTGAAAGAATGAAAACGATTTTTGGCTTCTAGTATTAAGTAAATAAGTCAGTCTAAACAAAACGTGATTTTTTTTTAATTATTTGAACTACCGCTCATGAGAGACTTTTTAAAATTAGCCGTCTTACAAGTGAACTATTAGTTATTGAATGCAACATTTGCCGTATCTATCACAGCTAAATTGACAATTTCCTTTACATGGGACTCCCACCCAACCCCCTATGCATAAAGATGTTTCTGCACGGAATTGTTCTGTTTATAGTTGCATACTGAGTGATTCTATTAATTCGTCCGCCTTTTCAAAGTCTCCTTCATGCATATACAATAATATACAAATATGATATATGCCTATATATGATGTAAGAAGCCCCTCGAAATATCCCGGTTTGATTCATCGAGCTGTATCAAAAATACAAAGTATAGAGCTTCTTTTGGGCCCATTAATCTATCAATTTCGCTTCGAGAGACTACGTCCTGTCCCACCCTCGTGCTTGCAATATTAGTGGTACAAAATTGCTGCAATCCAGACGTATGTCATTGAATTAGACACAGCAATCCCGTGGTAGGACGAATGCTAATTCAGTGTCGCTGGCGCGTCCGCGTCGATACTCCACTGTTTAATATCACTAAAAACAATTTACCGGTTAACAGTTAGAATAATTACGAGACAGTTTGTTGCAGAAAGTAATTTGATGAGGTTATTGTGGAGCAATGAAGATAACAGAGACTTTAGTGAACGGCAATGGAACGACTTCGGTAGAAAGGTAGGATGAAATAAAAGTTTTACTTGAAAAAAAAAACGGACCAGAAATTTCAAATTATTAACGATTTTATGATTTTACTAATTCTCGTTTACGCTTAGAACAACATTGAACTAAGCAACATGTTGATTGAAGTTTGATTAGATTTGTGTATGATCAAATTAGCGACAGATTATATGTTTGTTTTGATCGCGTCTTTCGTGTTGATTGGCGTAAATAACAAAACAGTGAGGTGTGAAACGGAATCGAGGCAAGACCATTCGCGCTTCTATACCGTGCCCCTCGCCCTACTTCCTGTTGTGTTTTGCTTCGCCGTTATAAACATTGGGTCGTCCCAAATATAACGGGGGTCGTCGACCGCTCAACGCCCGAGAAAGTCACCCGTTGACAGGGGTGGATAGTGATTAATTTTTAAATGCAGCAGGATGTGGATAACACACGCTATCTAACAGGAACATCATACAGAAACTCTTCGGCTGAAGACAACTAAATGAAGATTCACAGATACGCATACGTTTAGTTAGCACTTTACAAAAGGGATTGGCAATCCAATAACGTTGCATTTTATTGTATTCTTCAATAATTCTACAATTAATGCTCCCTTTGATGTATATAGGCTGCTATTTTATACAGTTTTTAAGTAGGCTTGATAAACAGCTTCGTACTTAGTGATATTATTCTTGATTGTTTCGGAAATAATTTCAGTGAATGAAAATACAACGTGTTACAAAATACCCCGTAAAAATATAATTAATTATCAAAGCCAAAAATTTTATCAACCCTAGTAAGCTGTCATGTCAGGGAACCAGATTATTTAACAGAAAGTCCTACGTACCTATTTAATCTAATAATTGTCTACTTAAATAGTTTTTCTATTTTTCATTCATAAATGTGTGCTACCTCAATACAAGGATGTGTCCGGTGCTATAGCCTCCTCGTTCTCCGGACTTCACACCCTTGGATTTCTTTTTGTGGGGTTATGTGAAGGACAGAGTGTATTTCTCCGATAGCCCAGCGGTTGCCGAGATGGAACAGCGTGTTAGATCGGTTTTCACATCAATAACATCGACTATGGTGCAAAATGCCACACAAGCCATATCCCGACGAGCGAGGTTGTGTATTGAGCAAGGCAGAGCAAACTTTTGTAACACTTAATTCAACAATTATTATTGACGATTATGTCAAATCAGAGGTTATGAAGTAACGGAAAAAGCTCATATCTTAATTCCTAATTCTTTTTTCAAATGCCTAATTTTTAATTTTCTTAATTCTTCGTCTAAGCATCATCAGCCTGTAAAAGTCAACAACTCATAACTTGAGAATTACAAAATCTCATACAAAAATAACGTTCGTCCTTTGTTTGCCATAAAGAGGGCAGGGTATTTTTATGGCGACAACAGACACTTTGTATTGCGATGCTCTAACACAAACAGAGTCTTAAAGAATAAGGAGCACAAAAGTTCCAAATGAGGCTGGCATGCCCTGAATATTCCCACGATGTGTGAAAAACGAGACACCTTTTTCTTTGCCCTATTTAAAAAAATCCTTTGTTTTTATCAACCGTAATGAGAACATAATATCTTTTCTTTCTTAAATAACATCTCCAGTAATAGGACGGGCTGATATTTTGTATGACAATAAAGAATTTATAATATATTTAATAAATAATTATTGAATAGAATATATGCTATTTAATAATCTCTTTGGATATCTGTGGTAGCTCAGGGGCTTAGCGCTGGCTGTTAAATTTCATACTACGCTAACAACCCGGGTTCGATCCCCGCCATCATCAATGAAACTGTTAATTACTATTTTAAGTTGCGCATTTACCACGTACTCGGCGGTGAAGGAAATCATCGTGAGGAAACCTGCATGTCTAAGAAATAAAAAATATTTCGAAGAAGGTATATAATAAAGAAGTTCGCCAACACGCATGCTCTGGGGCAGAGCGGCGAACTTTCCCTTGCCGTAAAACCCTCTCAGAAGTAAGAGGAGCCCTGTGCCCAGCAGTAGGACGTAAATAGACTGTAACTTTTTTTTTTTACAAAGAATAAAAAAAATAAAAACTTTAAATAGTCCTGGTCCTCGCGGTAGAGTCGCAAAAACGCTGGCTACGTTTTCTCTCTAAGAACCCCTAATTAGCCTTTGGGCGAGAATAGAACCGGCCTTCTCGTCTCCTGCGGCGGAGACCAGTCGTCGCAGATACGGTTCTTTTAGAAACTTCACTGGCTTAAGTTTACCAAACATGCCTGGAATTCGGAAATACATTTGAATATGTCTATCTATACATATAAATAAAATAGAAATGTCTGTCTGTAATATCGTAATACCTGCCTTCTTTATATTGAGGTCAGATGTTTATTTGAACGCCTTGAAAAACCATTTAAAATATTTTTGTTTTGTCCGGGCTAGTTATCGCAATGGCTAAACCGATTGTAACAAAACTTTACGAAGCGACAGACAAAAATGCCGGTGATCTATCACTGGCTATATTTTATCCGAAAAACTTGGACAGTAAAAGAAAAAACGGAAAATTGATAAATATAATAAATTGCCCAAATCTAAACATCCTATCATACCTAAGCAAAGCCGGGGTGGGTTACTAGTCGTTAATAAAATTGGCTTAATATAATTACCCGATTGTTTTAACTGTTGTTTTCCTTTACCGTTTTGTGAAGAGTTAGGCCAACACATAAATCTAAAAAAAATTTTTTTTTGTTCTGTCCCCGGGGATGGGTTGCATAGGATCGAGTCGAAGCTATGCAAATCAATCCCATTTTATAAATAAACATTGAAGGTCGAACCGTTTGACCTTCAATATTTAAAACCATTGAAGGTTGAATTTACTATTGTAGTTTTGTTAATGTAATCCATATTGATACGTGGTAGAGCCAAGCTGTAGCTATATTAGTAGTATTGTTGTAGCACGAATGGGTCAGCTCGAACCGGGAAGGACCACGCTCTCACAGAATACCAGCGTAAAATAGCAGCTTGACATTGCTGTGTTTCGTATGATGAGTGTAGAGAACCGGAGACCCTTTTTACTGGAAAAAAGGCATTCCATCTTAGTCCTTACGGGTGACAACGCATCTGCATTTTGATTCTTTATTGAGAACCGATAGACACAGAATGTCTATGAGTCACGGTAACCATTTACCACCAGATGGACTGTGTGCTCGTTTGTCACGCTATCCTTAAAAAATACATAAAATTTGTTAGTTTTTGGTAAGGAGCTATTTTTTATGTGGCATAAATTATGTTGCACGTATAACTTGTTCTTCTCGTTCATCAGCCGATAAAAGTCCAATACTGGACATTGGTCTCTCCTGATGTAGGATGGACTTGTTTAAGTCATCACGCTTAGCAGTAGGCTTGGCCATCACACTATCAGACGTTTCCCACTCTTGAGGCTGCTACTTGCCCCGTTTTGAGTATGGAACGTACGCAGGGCCTGGTACGAATGGCGTAAAAGAGATGGCTAGCTGCCATCAATCTGAATTAAGTTTCATACGTGGTAGAGCCAGGCTGCAGTGCATTATACCTGTAGCGCGGAGGCATCATCTCACTCGCAAATTCCAGCGTGAAAGCGCAGCACAATGCTGCTGTGAAACACAGCATGGTGAGTTACGTAAAAGGAGACATTTACTGGTAACGAGATATTCCATCTTGGTCTTCACCGGTGAAAATGATTCGCCATTTTCATTCTTATGTGAGGTTAGATGTAGATGTCTATGTGCCACATCATTCACTTACCAGGTGAACGGTACCCTCATTTGTCTCCTTTACTTTTGTAAAAAAGCTTTAAGACTTTTTTTTGTATTTCCCTTAGCTGCCTTTTACAGCACCAACGGCATGAAATGTGATGATTTTTTATGTTCACGCGAACAATACACATTTAAATGAAACTAGTTTTTTTACGGATTTTATCGGGTATAACTTATATTAAGTTATTTTCATTTCAATAGAGAAGATGGCTGGGTGCTACCATATGCTTGGTATCATATAATTAATAAAATTAAATCGCAACCCAAGCAGAAAACTACAAGACTTGGTATGCGAGTTAATTTTTTCAAGATACAATAAGTTCATACTGCGTAGATAAGACCATAAATTAATAATTTTTCTGGAGGGAGCCGTCGTTAACTATGACATTGGTACATCGAACACCTCAGTATCATCATCATTACTGCCCTTCACATGTCCACTGCTGAACATAGGCCTCCCCCAAAGAATGCCACAAAGCACGGTCCTGAGCCACCTGTATCCATCGACTTCCTGCATATCTTACCAGGTCGTCACTCCATCTAGTGGGGGGACGCCCTACACTTCGCCTGCCGGTACGAGGCTGCCACTCGAGAACCTTTCTTCCCCATCGGTTGTCGGTTCTTCGAGCTATATGGCCGGCCCATTGCCACTTCAGCTTACTAATCCGTTGGGCTATGTCGGTCACTCTGGTTCTACTGCGGATATCCTCATTTCTGAGTTTATCACGCAGAGAAACTCCGAGCATAGCCCTCTCCATAGCTTGCTGAGCGACCTTGAGCTTCCTCATCCGGCCAGCAGTGAAGGACCACGTCTCAGTTCCGTATGTCATCACTGGCAACACGCACTGGGTGTACAGTCTCGTTAAGTTTTGAGGTATACCTGACGGGAAGATGTGCCGTAATTTCCCGAATGCTACCCAACCGAGTTGAATCCGTCGATTGACCTCTCGGTCGAAGTTGAACTTACCTGGTCGGACTATTTGTCCCTGGTTGAGGTCATTGAGCATAGTGCTTAGGTCCTCCAGCGATTCTGCCATAAGGACTATATCGTCGGCAAATCGAAGGTGAGTGATGTACTCGCCATTGATGTTGATACCGTATCCTTTCCAGTCCAGAAGCTTGAAAACATCTTCCAATGCAGCGGTAAAGAGTTTCGGGGGTATGACGTCACCCTGTCTTACACCTCTCTGCAATTGGATAGGTTTCGTACTCTGGTTCTGTACTCGGATAGCCATCGTA